AAATATACAGCACACTCGAACTCGCCGAGGGGAAAGGGGGAGGGCTGGGGCGAACCCCCGAGGGCCAGCCAGCCTATCTACGCTGCTAGCGGGTGCCGCGAAAAGATGTTGTCCTCCGTAGGACTGGCGCCTGTGGTCCTGTTGACTGGCGGCCTGGCGGCCTGGCGGCCGGGCGTCCAGGAGCACGGCCAGCACGGCCAGCACCGCCACGCAGCAGCGGGCCGGCCCGCGCGGAACGGGGCGCGGAAGAAGGAAGATGAAAGGGGATAAGCTGCGATACAATGTTGCAGCGCGCGAAAAAATGACGCCGCTGTAAAAAGGAACCGAAAAGAAAGACTGGAAGAGAAATGAAAGCACGCGCCGCGACGCGCCGCCCTTGGGATGAAAGAAAAAGGAAGAAGGCAGGAAAAGCGGCGGGGAAAGAGACGAGTGCGTTCCAATCTAAACACGCGTGCGCCGGCCGGGGGGCGGGGTGGGGCGGGGCGGGGCGGGGCGGGCATTCCGAGCTGATTCATGCACCACAGCGTCGTCTGCCTCTCTCGCTCCTGCGGGGCGTGCGGCGGCGGTGCGAGAGCGACAGCGCGACGGCAGGGCGACGGCGGCAGGGCGACGGCCCTCCCGCCCCCAAGGCCCCGGCCGGGGCATGAACCCGACCAAAACATCTTGCGGCGGAATGCGGTGCGCGCCGCCTGCCACAGCCTGCCCGCGGTCATGCGTGTCCGTGCGTGCCTGACCCTGCCGAGCGCTGCCGAGCACTGCCGAGCACTGCCAAGTAGGGATGTAAGAGCAAGTAATATTACCGGTAAAGAATGGTAAATTACGGTAAAATACGGTATGTTACGCAGGCCCCGGTAAAATTGGTATTTTTAGTAATTTTGAAACTATTGTTAATTTTGAAAAAAGCGGTGTCAAATGTGTAGAAATCGTCGTTTGGGCTGACTTTGGGCAGCCACTGCGTCTAATCTAAGGCGGCTAATCGCTCTCCCTCAACGGGTGACTGGTCTTTGGGCCTTCCTTTAGAACACCTTTGTTACGGAGTGCGATTAGCCGCCTTAGTTTGGGAGCGGTATTGCAGCAAAGTTTGTCGAAACAGTATCAAATGTGTAGAAATCGTCGTTTGGGCTGACTTTGGGCAGCCACTGTGTCTGATCTAAGGCGGCTAATCGCTCTCCCTTAACGGGTGGGTGGTCTTTGGGCCTTTCTTTAGAACACCTTTGTTACGGAGTGCGATTAGCCGCCTTAGTTTGGGAGCGGTATTGCAGCAAAGTTTGTCGAAACGGCATAAAATGTGCAGAAATCGTCGTTTGGGCTGACTTTGGGCAGCCACTGCATCTGATCTAAGGCGGCTAATCGCTCTCCCCCAACGGGTGGCTGGTCTTTGGGCCTTTCTTTAGAACACCTTTGTTACGGAGTGCAATTAGCCGCCTTAGTTTGGGAGAGGTATTGCAGCAAAGTTCGTCGAAACGGTATCAAATGTGTAGAAATCGTCGTTTGGGCTGACTTTGGGCAGCCACTGCGTCTAATCTAAGGCGGCTAATCGCTCTCCTCCAACGGGTGGGTGGTCTTTGGGCCTTCCTTTAGAACACCTTTGCTACGGAGTGTGATTAGCCGCCTTAGTTTTGAAGCTGTATCGCAGCAAAGTGGATCAAAACGATAAAATTTTACTTTACCCAAATGTACCGTATAATACGGTAAAATACCGTATTTTACCGTTATTTACGTAACTTTGAATTTTACCGGTATTTTTACATCCCTACTGCCAAGCCATTCCGCTCGGTCTCTCTCGCACCCCCGCGAGTGCGACGCGACGCAGCGTCGAGGTGGCTCTGGCTCCCCGTGGGTACACTGCGTTGGCCATAATTCTAGGCCAGTGGTTCTCAACCTTAGGGTCGCGACCCCAAGTGGGGTCGCGAAAAAATTTTAAGGGGTCGCGGCGAGGTAGCTGGGGTCGTGTTTTGGGCCGATTTTAAGCAGCCACTGCGTCTGATCCGAGGCGGGCATTTTGCTCCCTCAACCGGCAATTGGTCTTTGAACCTTCCTTAAGCATTCATTAGTTACGGAGTGTGATTATCAGTCTTAGTTCGGGAGCAGTATTGTCTCAAAGTTTACCAAAACGGTCAGAAATGTCTTTGAAAAATCGTGTTTTGGGCCGATTTTAAGCAGCCACTGCGTCTGATCCGAGGCGGTATTTCGTCCTCCTTCAACAGGCAATTGGTCTTTGGACCTTCTTTTAGCACGCCTTTGTTACGGAGTGTGATTATCGGTCTTAGTTTGGGAGCAGTATTGTCTCAAAGTTGGCCGAAACGCTCAGAAATGTCTTTGAAAAATCGTTGTGCCTGTTTTGGTCAACTTTGAGACAATACTGCTCCCAAACTAAGACTGATAATCGCATTCCGTAACAGAGGCATGCTAAAGGAAGGTCCAAAGACCAATTGCCCGTTGAGGGAGCAAAATGCCCGCCTTGGATCAGACGCAGTGGCTGCTTAAAATCGACCCAAAACATGATTTTTTAAAGACATTTCTGAGCGTTTTGGCCAACTTTGAGACAATACTGCTCCCAAACTAAGACTGATAATCGCACTCCGTAACAGAGGCATGCTAAAGGAAGGTCCAAAGACCAATTGCCCGTTGAGGGAGCAAAATGCCCGCCTTGGATCAGACGCAGTGGCTGCTTAAAATCGACCCAAAACATGATTTTTTAAAGACATTTCTGAGCGTTTTGGCCAACTTTGAGACAATACTGCTCCCAAACTAAGACTGATAATCGCACTCCGTAACAGAGGCATGCTAAAGGAAGGTCCAAAGACCAATTGCCCGTTGAGGGAGCAAAATGCCCGCCTTGGATCAGACGCAGTGGCTGCTTAAAATCGACCCAAAACATGATTTTTTAAAGACATTTCTGAGCGTTTTGGCCAACTTTGAGACAATACTGCTCCCAAACTAAGACTGATAATCGCACTCCGTAACAGAGGCATGCTAAAGGAAGGTCCAAAGACCAATTGCCCGTTGAGGGAGCAAAATGCCCGCCTTGGATCAGACGCAGTGGCTGCTTAAAATCGACCCAAAACATGATTTTTTAAAGACATTTCTGAGCGTTTTGGCCAACTTTGAGACAATACTGCTCCCAAACTAAGACTGATAATCGCACTCCGTAACAGAGGCATGCTAAAGGAAGGTCCAAAGACCAATTGCCCGTTGAGGGAGCAAAATGCCCGCCTTGGATCAGACGCAGTGGCATGCTAAAGGAGGGGTCCCGTGGGGTCGCGAAACTTTTCCTGGGGGTCGCGGAAATTTTTGGCTACAAATTTGGGGTCGCGAGCCGAGAAAGGTTGAGAACCGCTGTTCTAGGCTTCATTGTCTGGACGCCGATCGAGCGCCTATCAAGCGGTTTGGACCGGTTGTGACTCCGCGCTCTCTGCGCGCCGCCCGCCACCGCCCCCTCCACCTCGCCGCGGCAACGCAGCCGGCCACAGCCAGCCGCAGCCAGCGGTACACTAGGCAAAGCAGCCACCGCAGCCACGTGGACCGCGGCCAAAGGGAGGAATTATTTTTCTATTGGCCTAGGCACGTCGACACGCCCCGCCTCCCCCGCCTCCCCGCCACGGTCCGCCTCGCGCCGCCACGCCGCCACCGCGCCGTCGCCGTGGGGGCAACACTCACACACACAAACGGGTCGCGGACAAATCGGGCGAGCCGGGCGTAAATTTTTCAGCGATGAGCGACAGTCAAGGTGCAAGGTCCCCGCCGGTCCCCGCCGGTCCGCGCCGCCCCACTGGCCGATGGCTCTCGAAGAGGTCCTTCGCTTGGCCGGGCGTCCCTCCACGATGACACACCGCCTGTCATAAATCGGACGGGTAGTTTGCTCGGCCCGAGGACCGGCCGGCCGTTAGAGCCGCGAGCCGCTCGTGCAGGCCCTCATTCAGGCTCTCGGGGACCACTCCCTGAGTCGCGTGGCGCGTCCGCGGCGTGCTCGAGGAGGCGAAGAAAGCCAGGCCCGAGGCCAGGCCCTGCCGCCTGCAACCGATTACTGCACGTAGTTGGCCGGGGAGTCCTCGCTGGTGTTCATTAGCCTGCGTCTCTCTCTCACCCTCCCCTCCCACGTCCCTCCCCCAAGCCTTTAAAAGAAGAAATTCAGGAAAAAAAATGAAAAAAAAAACAGCAAACAAACGTGGTAGTAAACGTTGGTGGCGAGCGAGACTGTTTGCATCCAACACAACCGCCCCGCACTGCTTCATGAAAATTAGATGCCGCCCCGTCCTACTGTTCGTCCTCGTCCTGCGCCGCGCCGCGCCGGTGCAGTGGAAGTAGCGGGCAGCAGCGGGCCGCCGGTACACTGCGAGAGGAAGGGAGAGGGAAGGTGGCCCGTATCGGCACTTTCTTTTAGCAGTGACGTGCCAGACATGACGCCGCCACGCGACGTGCCTGCCATGCACGCTTGGTTTCGTTACCAGTGCAGGAACGACTTTTTCCTCCTTTCGGCATTTTGCGGTGTAGCGGTTGGCTGGCCGCGTTTTGTGCCATGAATCAAAGCAATGGAATTCCCCCGCCCCTGCTTTTCGGTGGTCATGAGGCATCAGCATTACACTGCATGGCCCGTGGCCCGGCCGGCTCGGCGCGGTCTCTCGATGGATCCCCCCGCAATGCACAGCGTGCACGGCCCCTCCCCAGAATTCCTCCCCCTCTCCCTCAATACAAGCAAACGCCGGCGCCCCTCCCTGCTCGCCGTCCGTCTGCCCGTCTGTCTGTCTGTCTGTCTGTCTGTCTTCTGTCTGCCCGCCGTCAGGATGAGAGCAGGGGAAAGCGCGTCTCTATATAAGCGGCTGTATATTGGTTCCCCTCAAAACGCGCTCGACCAAATTCGCGCCCCACCCCACCCCGCCCCACCCCGCCCCACCCCGCCCCCCCCGCCCCGCCCCGCCGCGCGGCTGGACGCGGAGGCGGCGTTCGGCCGCGGCCGGCTCAGACAGTGCCGAGGTGCGTGGCAGTGGCGTGGCAGTGCGTCGAGACGGAGCGACACAGCGACGAGCAGCGAGCCGCGAGCCGAGCTCACCATGGTAACGGACCCTCGGGCCCCTGGCCTGCCCCGTCAAGAGAGTGCTTGTGTCGCTTGTGTGTTGTGCTTGGTGGAAACTAAACCGCCACCGGAAGAATCGTGTCCCGAAGAAAGAAGACTGCAGTGTAGTGCACCTGGAGGCACCCGGAGCAGGCGGCGCGGGGATTTACCGCTGGAGTGGCTCCAGGCCTGATTGTACTGTTGGTTGGCGGGGCGTTGCCGGGGCGACCGCGGCGCGCTGAATACCTCGGCGGGAAAGCCGAATGCACGGAGTGGCACGGAGTGGCACGGAGTGGCACGGAGTGGCTCATTGTCTGCTCCCGGCCTAGGCCTTGTTGGCCTTGTTGGCCGTGCTCGGCTTAAACGATGCAGGCTGCACCGGGAACCGAGACGCGAGAAGTGGTCGCAGTCGTCTCAGCCTCGCGACTCGCTTTCCGAAAGTCTGCGCTTTCGAGTTGACGGAACGTGTGACCCCACCAATGGATTGCTCTCCGAACGAGGAATCCATTGGTAGGGTCACACGTTCGATTCGAGTCCTGTTTAGCGACTATCGGGAGCTCAAAACGTGCCTAGAGTTTTGGCCGCCGGCGCTGGTCTTCTGGCCCACTGTGCGCCGGCTTGGCCAGCTTGCCCGGCTTCACCTGCATTCCATTCCGATTCGAAATCAGCACCGGACCGCCTTTCCCGCCCCGCCGGCCCCGCCGGCCGCGCCCCACGCTTTTGACTTTGGCCCCTGCCGCTCCTGCCGCCCCGCCGCGGCCCTGCGCCCCTCTCGATCGATAGCCAGGGGCCCGGGGCGCACGGCCAGGGGCCCGGGGCGGGGCGGCAGGGGCAAGGGGCCCGCCGGGGGGCCGCGGAGCCGCGGGGGACAGGGATCGTCCAGCACGCCGTTAAAACGCCCCTCAGGACGGGACTGCAGCACGGCCGGCGCACGCCACGCCACGCCAAACCCCCTTCACCCGCCGCGGACGAGACGAGCGGCGACTGGGATGCAACCAGCTGCAGGGGAATGCAGGAGGTGCACCGCCTGCCTCCGCCTGCCCCCGCCTGCCACGGCACGCGCGGGTTACACTACTGACAGTGCCGCGGCCTGCAGGCCTGCACCAGCTAGGTCGCCCAGCAGGCCAGCAGGCCGCCCTGCCCGTCCGTCGGGGACCTTGGTCGCGCTGCCGCGCTGACGTGGGTGATCGCCTCCTCGGTGTCTCTGGGTGCGAGTCCGACGGAGTCCGAGCCCGCCCCGCGGCCATAGAAAACAACCGCGCCGCCAAGCCCGCCAAGCCCCGCACACGCGCCGGCCCACGCCCGCAGGCAGCCCGGCTCGCCGCGCCTCGCGCACCTTGCCGTATATTTCAGGCGTCTCTATTTATCCTCTTTCTTGTCAGAATAACTCTCGAGGAAGTGAGGGAGAGAGGACCCTCCTGGCAGTGGAGCTCCGTCCGCTGTAACCCGCTCCGCCGCGCTCCGCCCGGACCGCTTCACTGGGAGTTTGTCTCCGATTTTTCAGTCGAGCTCTGCATGCACTGCCGGCTGCTTGCTGCCGTGCTCACCCACGGCCCGGCCCGGACCAGTGCCCTGGACCCGCGTGTCCCCAATGCCAAGTCCCCCGGGGCGAAAAAAAAAGTTGCTTGGCCTCGCAGAGCTTCGCAGAGCTTGGCCCTCCACCGACGACGCCCTTAACTAATGCGCCAGTACACTAAACGACGGACTCGCCCGGCCCCGCCGGCTCAATGCGCCTTTTTGGGGTGGAAACTTGAACTAGTCTCTCCTTTTTTTCGTGTCCCTTTCCCTGGCCGTACTGGGCGTGACGGGGCCAGTCCCTCGCCGCAAGGCCGCCAGCGGCCGCCAGGGTGCAGCCCTCCCCTCCCCTCCCCTCCCTGCACTGCCCTGTACTCACGGACCGGAGCGGAGGGACCACCGCGCCGGCGAGACAGAGGCCGATTCAGCCACCGACTGCGGTGGCGCGGTGGGCCCGTAGGGCCCGTAGGCTTCGGCCATGACTTGCATCCCCTTCCCTCCGGGCTGGCCACAATTATTTGCCCCAGTGGCACCCTGACCGCGACGGCCCTTCGGAGTCCTTCGGGGCCCTTCGAGGTCCTTGCGGGTCCAGACCGCCCGGGCGGAGGGGCACCTGAGCCTCCCTGCGGTCTTGCTGACGAAGTGCCGGCCGCGCACGCGTCTCGCAAAACACGCCCGTGCGGCCGCTCGGCGTCCGTCTAGGGGCTGCCTGTGGCTGCTGGCGCGAGCTAGCGCCAGGTCGGGACGGCCTCGTCTCTGGCTTTTCCTGTGGCGTGGTAATGTTCCCTGTAAGTCTTGCCTCGCGCTCCCCTCGCTTCTCTGACTGAGCACTCCCCGACCCGGAAACCGAAGACTCTAATTTTATTCAAAACATTCATCCTTCTCTATTAATGTTCCTCTTCCCTCCGTTTCTCATTACCGTTTTTACTCCAAACAGTCCCGTCGCGCCTGCCTTCATCCTTACTCTGCCCCCTCTCTGCCCGCCCGTACCAACACCGACCCGCTCTCTCTCGCTGCACTGTCACCTTAAAAATTTCACCGCCGTGTATATCGCCTACCCCCCCCCCCCCCCCCTTCCTTCAAGGAGACCGGCGCCGTATATAAACCTCTTGACGCTCCCTCGACACGTATCAAAAACACCAGGGCGGCCCTCTCTGCCCCAAGCAACCCTCTCAATCTGACCCTCTCTGTCTCTCCGACTGGTGGTAATTCTCGGACGGTGATGGCGAGACCGCGCAATCTCCCCGCTTCTTTCTCTCTCTGCCGCCAAGAAGTACAAGATATTCGTCCTTGGCCTGCTCGCCGGCCCGAGGCCCTTCGCTCCCTTTTTACTGCCCTTGTCACACGGCGCGTCGCACAGCGCGACAAACGGAAATGATTGCCTCTCCGTTTTCAAAAGGCCAGCCTTCGCGAAAAGGCCACTCTTTCCCATTACGGCAGGTGATCGCAGCCGGGGGCGAGCGGCTGGCATCATTTTTGCAGAATCCACTCCGTGACACTTTTCAAATTAATTTCACGGCCAAATCGGCACCACAGTTTCGGGCAACAGAGACATGAAACGTGGAAAGAAAAGGAGGTACTTAGGAATTTGCTGAGGAGGTATTTCTCTTTTTTCTCAATATCGTTATTTTGGGGTCAGTTTCCAATTATTCTTTTCGGCAGTGACGAGGGTGCCGTCGCCGCCGGCGCGCTGCGAACCCCGATTCAATCTTGCGAGGGTAGTACATCACACGACCCACCCCCGTGCCGTCGCCCTTCCGCAATCTCCGTCTCTTCCTTGTAGGTCACATCATCCGGCGTGCATATAGCTCAGGCGCCTCCCGACGGCCCCTCCGTGTCCGCACCTTGCCGAGCCGAACTTTGCCGAGCCGAGCCGTGCCGAGTCGTGCCGAGCCGAGCCGTGCCCCCCCACACGTGATTACAGCAGATCACCGGCTGGCTCTATCGAGGCCGCGGGGGAAACGGGCAGACCTTATATCTGGCTTCCTGAGAGCCACCAAGCCGCGCGGCCGGGCCCCATCCATCTCTGCGATAAGGACCTGGGGCTGCTCCAAAAAAAGAGACTTTTGCATGCTTTGGGGGAAACTGGGCACGGTCGTGGGCGAATGGCATGTTCGAAAGCTTCGACCCCCGGTTGTCAAATGTGCTGATTTTTCCAAGCACATAGAAGACCCCGCCGTGGTAAACTATTGAATTTAGAACATAAAGACACAAAAGGTGATTCTCCTAAACATAAAACAAGTTCACTAATTTTTTGGTGGACTTGGTGGTCTTATTGGTTAAGAGGATTCCCTGGCCACGAACAGGTGCCACGGCACGGCGCTAAACGGAGCGGCAGCGTGTGACACACGTACTGTATATCGGGTCGGCATGCACCGCCTATGTTTCACCGGCCGATTCACTCGGGTTCCCCGAGGCAGCCGAGTGGCTCACACACGCGCCGTCGATGCGGCTCCCGAAGCGAAACCTCCCCTGCATAATCGCTGGTGAACAGGAATCAGGCGCGCGTGAGTGGCGAGGGCTCTCATCCTCTATGTGTGTGTGTGTGTGTTTGTGCGCGTGCGCGTATGCGTATGCGTCTGTGTGTACCTGAGTGTATGTGTGCGTGCTTGCGTTTGTGGATACTAGACGGAGATGGCGCAGCCTTGGGTATCTCCTCCAACAGAGTAGCGACTTTTGCTGGAACGAGTAATGAGATGGGACTTTTTCTTCTGTGTTGCAGTCCACCACCATGGACCAGGAACAAGTCACCAGTAAGTATAGGAAATATTTAATGGACAGTAAGTATCGTCTGGAGAAAATGTGTACAGTTCCGATCGACTAACACACTTATTATCTTCCTAAATCTAGAAGCCAAAGTCCAAATCACGTACAGTGGTCTCTAAGGGAGTACGTTTTCTTTCGTGCTAAACAGAACTGTAACCCACCTGACAGGAAATTGTCTTCGCGACCGTGATAGCAAGGGCTTCATGATGAATATCACTGCCGCAGCGACGTGGAACGTGCTAGCAGCAGCCCTGTGGGAGGCGCCCTGGAAGCCTGTAATACGGTTCCAATCATTTTCCCGGCCGGGGCGCAAGTTCACCCGTGGTGAAATAATTAGGCCGCGATCGGCAGCGAAACATTGCCCGAAATAGACTCCCCCTCCCCCTTCCCTCCACCAGCGCGGCGCTGCGCAGATAGCAATCTGCCTGGCGCCGCACGGTGTTTGGAGCCGGCAGCCCGGAAGAGATCCGGATGCAGCCTCGGCAGACATTTTCTGGAGCGGATCTCTACTTCGAAGCCAAATTTGTTCCTTTAAAATACTACTAAAATACTACCTCACTAAGTTTGGCCTCAGTGATGGGGTGTTGCTGGAGGCTCCAGTCTCTATCACGAAGAGGGGCTCCGAAAATCACGGGAGCTGGTGGCAGCAAAAGTCCCTTCGCGGCGTACTGGCAGATTGATTTAAAATTGAGGGAGCATGACAATGTCACGACGGGGACGAGGCTATCAGGCTGCCACGCCGGCCTTCCGGATCCCTCCCTTCTCCTCTCTCCCTCGGAACGAGGCGCGCGCGGACTGACTTATTATCAAACCGGGATACATTTTGACGACCTAAAAGTTCCCTCGGCTGGCTGGTGCCGCTCGAGCCACCCCTCAGCTCTCGCCACGGAAATCCACGGCAGGCAGCGCCATCATCTCGGAGTGGAAGTTTTCTGCTCCATTGATTACGACCGTCGGGCTTAGACTTGGGCCAGACCTACTTCCCAGTCCGCCGTAAATGTCGGCAACATTCGGAATAAAATATCAAGGCAAAAACAGTTCCCGGGGGCATTGCTTTTACACAGCTGGCCTTCGAGTGCCTGTTCACTAACGAAAACTAACCCGTACTTTATTCGAACGACGTCTGTCTTTCGTCTTTTTAGTCATTTTTAAATACTGACCAGCAGTCGTGAGGCTAGAATAGTGAACCCGCATTCTGTGTGTCTACAGTGCTGCGAAGAGCCTTCTCCATGTTCGACTCAGCCAAAACAGGCTGCATAGAGAGGGAGAAGGTGCACACAATTCTCAACACTATGGGCCAGGCCTTTGACGACAGAGAACTTGACCGATACCTCACAGAACAGGACCTAGAAGGTGAGTTCAAGCAAGTTGTTTCAGTTCACCCGAAGATTGCATCGCATCGTTTCGCAAGAACTGCCATATATTCCCAATAAGTGCACTTGTCTTCAAAACCTTCAAAACGTTGAACACATTTCTGGTCCAAAAAAGTTTAGGTGCAATTGGAACAGTCCCTTGCCAGAGTTTATGCATTGTCTGGCATCCGCTCGTGAGGGCGTGACTCACTATGCAACATGTGGAATCGCTCTTTGATGGTGTCGGCACTTGTTGACTCAGCTAATCAAGATTTACGCCTCTCCAGGTACGGGAAAGCTAGACTTCGACGCGTTCTGCAAGGTAGCCATTCACTTCCTGGACGAGGACGACGAGGCCCTGCAGAAGGAGCTGAAGGCCGCCTTTAGACTTTACGACAAAGAAGGTATACCACGCGGCCTCTCGACACGATTAATGGGTAGTAAATTGAAAACGCCTTCGAATGAGATTAATTCTCCCTTTCAGGAAACGGATACATCCCGATTTCATCCCTGCGGGAGATCCTCATCGCCCTGGATGACCAGCTGACCCCTGACCAACTCAACGAAATGATTGCTGAAATTGACACCGACGACTCCGGCACGGTAGACTTTGATGGTAAGAATCAAGGGTTTACGTATATCTTAAACCCGTACAAAATTGCCGATTTTTGACAACCTTATTCTTTTTCTGTTTTTAGAATTTATGGAGATGATGACTGGAGACTAAACAGCTACCGCCTATTTAATTTTAGGAATAATAATAAATATTTATTGGACTGATCGTTTTAGCATGGGGGTGGGTTTTTTCGTGATATATGACTGTATGTTTTGTGCATTCGATTGAATGAATACCAGTTGATTATCAAATAAATTAATATTTTCACAATAAATTGGTGGAAAAATAAAGTGTTCTCACTTGCCCAACCTTACCTGACCTAAAATTTACTTTCACCAATGGGCATTTCCCTCATGCAACACTGCAGTCATACTAAAGAATACCTCAATTGTATACACCACCATGCTGTCTAAAATTCTGATAAACTACTCGTAGACAAAAATTATTCAAAAACTGTCGTATAAAAGTCTAATTTAAACACAACAATTCTACAAATAAATTTTGAAACAAAATCATCGTATAACAACCTCTACATTGTAGTTACTAATACAGACACTATTAAAGTTACTGCTATGAACAATTAATTTTATTTGACATCAAACTCTACCGTATCTAATTTTTACTATTTATTATCACTATTTACAAGTCGTGACAAACGTTTTGTGGTACTATCCCTCTCTTGCTCTCTGGATGTAAGTCATGTTTTGTGCTGTTTGAGACAAAAACTCTTTAAGATAAACCTTCTGGATATGTGTTAAGGTTTCAAAATTCTTGGCATTTATCATAGTTTTTATCAAAATGCTGATAGTCATAAAATGTTTCTGCCACCTTTATGAAAACTCGTAGAAAGCGCGAGCGCCCGACACATGTTAATTATGTATGAAAAAGCGAGAAAAGAAGAGGAAAAGAAAGCATGGGATAGAGAGAAGAGAGAGGATATTGTATTGGTTAGGTGACGAAAAGAAATGGTGGTATTGAATACTATCTAGCTAGTGCTTTACAGCATTACCAAGTCCAAATCAGCTAGGACTGTACCTGGCTGAGACTCCTAAAGCTACTAGTACTGGCGCTGCGAGCCTGGAAAAGACAGAGACAGAAGAAGAAGGGTAGCAAGAGTTGCTTGTAAAACACATGTCAGGGCACGGCGTGGAGAACCAACACCAGTGTGGCAGCCAAATGAGCTTCCATTGATGCGTTTAGGCCTTTGTTTTTGTCGAGACAATTAAGCAGAGTAGGAGAAAGGTAAACTTTGCGCACAGTACTACGTTCCACAAAACAGGAAGGCAAAAAATGGAAACGAAAAGGCAGGTTTGAGGAACACACAGCATAACAGGGTCCAGAACACACAGCACATTGACGCTTCACATTGAAAGCAGCGTCGGCCTTTGCATGCACAAGGGCCATTATTGGCAGTCGTGTTGCCGCCGTCCAATAGCGGCGCGGGCCGCACAACAAAAGGCGAGCTGATTGGCCCCGCCAAGTGGCTGTCAGCCAATCAGGAGGCCGCTTGCAGTCCACCCTTTATTGGAGGGCCTTCATCGATCAGGAAGACGTGTTAAGCAAAAGGAAGCCGAATGCAGACAAGGCAGATAGAACAAAAGCGCGGTGTGTGGGGCACGGCCACATCGTGGCTTACCGCGCCATAAAACGTTATGACCCGACGCAGGTCCGTAAATGCAGAGCTAATAAACACCAGACAGGCGCCAGTGGCTTGGCCGCTGTCGTATCAGGGGTGAAAGGGATCAAATGTAACCCGCAGTACATGATGATAAAATAGCTGAAACGGATCCAATGCGTCCATTCATGCCTTGGGCAAACAGCACCGTCTTCAAAACCAGCTCTACTCTCTTACTCACACACCCACACTCAGACCACACACACACAATACATAACACACGAAGGGGTTGTATTACAGTTCTGGCAGGCTATGAGGTGGTCCCTGGCCACACGCCAGCCCGCCAGCACGCCAGCCCAGCGCACGCACGACACGCAGCGTTGCCTACCTTGGCGGTGCCGGCACGGAAGGTAAGTCCTACAATGGCGCTTGGCCGGTACCACGCCTATCGCGACTCTGGCGCTGAGGCGTGGCGGGGCGGGTGGGGCCACCGTCGTCAGCCACCGCCTCTCGCCCAGTTGTGCACCGGTCGCCCGTCATGAGGCTCCTCGGCCTGGCCCTGGTCGTCTGCGTCGTGGCTTTAGCCCACGCCGCACCCAATAAGGGCGCCCACAGCACCAAGGCCGCTGCCACGGGTGAGGCCAACAGCCTTTGGTGACGTCCTCCAAGGCCTTCTAAGGAGCGTGCGGACGGGGAAGGCGGGCCGGCAGTGCCCTACTGGGCGTGCAATACAGCGGTCCGACGGGACGCCCACGGGCAGGACACTGCCCTCTGGTTTCTTTTTTGGCGGGCATTTGCAACGAATCAGTTGCCTTGGAAGTGAGCCTGTTGTACACACGTTAGCCAGTAGGGTCCTCAAGCAGACTGTCGTTGCAGCCTCCCCCTGCAAGGTGGACGGTGACTGCAAGAAGACGGTGTGCGGCAAGACGCTGGCCGTCTCGTGCGACAAGCCGACCAAGAAGTGCGTGTGCAAGGCCAAGGCTCAGAAGACCAAGAAGCCAACGACAACGACCGTCACGACACCAGCCGCCGAGAGGGCAGAGGCCGAACCCAGCCCGGAGGACGCCGAGAACAAGGGGCCGGACGCAGCGCCACCTGCCGCCGAAGAGTTGGAGGCCTAGGGGTAAACGACTAAGCCTCTTTTAACCCATGCCAATCATGTCAACACCCACCGGTAACAAACTAACGGTACCTCACTGAAGTCCAAATTGTAAACTAAAATTTGGTTCAAGTTTATAATGTGATAATGTTTTCACTTACTCTAAAAAGCAGGAGTCGTTTACCCCTCGTCCCCGTCTTGAATAATTATTAAGGTTCTGGCACAAGGGACATTTTATTTTGATTTGCCTCGGTGTACAGGTTTTTCATGACAACAACAATGGCTTTTTACTTTTTCCGACTTTGTCCTTGATCAGCACCCGGTGGAAGGCAAGTCCGATCGAACAAATGAAAGAAACGAGGCTCGTTTTCTTAAAATATTATGGTGGTGGTCGTTGGTGTTACAAGGTAAGTTGCAGCCCGGATACCGGGCCTCTGCTGCCGCTGATTTCGTAATGAAAACATGGCTGCAGCGCAGGCGCCCTCTGCGGTGGCGTGACCGGCCGCCAAGTTTGCGATAGTCGCTCCTTTTCCCAGTGGTGCTGCCGGTATTTCGCGTGCCTCGCTGAGGCGGTCAAAGGGCGGGGGTGATGGCACTGCAAAACGAAATTAAAATTTACCTTGCTGCGGTTCCGCGGCGTGAAGTCTTCCTTGGACGTCTTCCTCCTCTTGTCCTTGAGGATCATACGCGCCGCCGCGAACGCCATCTTGCGGCTTTGCTTGCGGCAGCTGTCTCTCTCGCTCTGGACTCACGCGGCCCGGCTGGCCCGGCTGGCCCGGCCGCCCAGACTGGGTGCGGCTTGCGGCCGCGGCCCGGCGGTGCCCTCGGAGGGTGCTGCGGGGGTGTGGCGGCCGTCTTCGTGCCCGCGTGCGCACGCTCTGGCCGCACGCGCACGGACGGCTGCGTTGACTTCACACGCACGGGACATTAAGGCAGGGCGGGCAGGCCCAGTTGGAGCGCTCTACAAAAGAAACAACAAGGTCACCCTCAAGGTCACCCTCAAGGTCAGCAGCCGAGGGCGACATCGAGGTAGCCGCTATTGCCCGTGTCTCATTGGTCGGAAGTGAAAGCGTCTGTAGATTCATTTTGATCTCTCTAGTGTCCTTCAATCGTCGTTTTTCGAACTCCCCCAGCCCACACTTTCTGCTTGCCATACGTCAACTTAATTGAAAAATAACTGCTTTACTTGCACGCCTTGTGGTGCAGGACGGTAGAAAAGCGTCCGCATTCCTCCCAGTCCTACCCGCGGTCGGCAGGAAGGGCCAGTAGTCCCGACAAGCGGTGGGGAAGATTGAGGAAATAGAGACGGTTGTGAAATGACATGCAAATTCATACCGCGTCGAGGAGAGCGACTCTTCGCCTCGCCACCACCACCCTACCCTCCTTTTCCGCACCGTCTGAAGCCCTCCCCACCCCAGCATCCCCCGGCCACCGAAAAAGGGGCCAAAATTGTTACGGCGGGGGCCTGCTGCCCTGTTTCCATCTTTATCACACCAAAGCAGGGATTTCGAAGATTTGCCTCTGTGTGTGTGCGTGTGGGCGAGGCTGCGCTTTGGCTCCTTGCCCTGATGCCACTGCCGGCGGGGAGCCTTGGCCTAGCCTTTCCTTACACTGCCATCATAAAGTGCGTTCTAGAAATACGCACGCAGGCGGCGAACGTGAGCCGGTGGGAAGAACATTTTCGCGGATATAAGAAATTCCCTCCCCGCAAACACACACGCACACATAACCGTGCGCGGGGGAAGTGGGGCCGAGGAAACGAGCAGACGGCCGGCCTGTTCGTGCGCTGGGCGAATCAAAGGAAGCGAGGCCGGAAGTAGGCCTTTTAGCTCGGCATTGTGTCCAGGCCGTCCAGGACGTCCAAGACGCGCTGGAGCAGCCCGGGGAAACAGGCCTTTCCGGCCCGGGGCTGCCCGGGGCTGCCGGCCGCGCCCTTTGGCTGCGCCCTTTAAAATCACCCCGTTTGAATCCATCACTGTCACCGCGGCACCGCGCGCCGTGAAGGGCTGCTCGCGCCAGGAGAAGGGACTCCTGAGGCGGAGAGTTTTTCATATTCCTGCCGCTCCGACAAAGGCGCTACGGCGCCACTTTGGCAGCCGTTTTGGCACGCGCCATTCCAAGGCTGTCCTCATCGTTCGACTGTTCCGTTGGCGCGTGGTGCGTGCGGCGTGGTTTGTGGCTCCTGCTTTCGCAGGGTGTTTGAGTCAACGGTTGAAAACGGAAAGAAATTTGTGAGCGATGGTTCAGCCGAGCGTGCAGTGACGAAATGGGGGGTGGGGGAAAAGAACCCGCACACGAGTGACTCTCAGCGACCAGCGTTATCGGTCGGCTTGCCATGCTTGCCATGCTTGCCATGCTTGCCACGCGTCACTTACTGCCCGCTCAATTCGGACAGATCGCTCACTGCTCGCCTTGAGAGTGGCGCGCTGTCACCCGCTGCCGGTCCTCTCTTATTGCACCTCGTCCTCCGTCACACGGGAGGCGGCTGGCGGCCCGAGACTGCCAGAGATACTCGGGGGAGGAGAGGCCGTCACGGAAAACCCCGTTCCGACATGCCGCGCGAGATTGTGAATTGGATTCAGATTTCTGGAGTCACGCTCTCTCCCTGTCTTCCTGACCCTCACCGTCTCGCCCATCCTCCGTGGTGAGTGGCACTGGCACTGCGATGACTCAACCCAAAGATTCATTTGTCTGTCTGTCTAGCACTCGCGGCCTTTCCATGTAGACAGCGGTATTTTCAATCAGCCTGCTAACCCGAGGCGCGAGGCTTCAGACCCTGCTCCCGGGACATAATCGCACGGCCAGTTTCTCGGGACCCGGGTCGCCTAGCCTCACGAGTACTTTGCGACGAGCATAATTTATAGTTTTGGTTCCGGGGCTGCAGCCTGCACGCCACGGCGGGGCCACGGCGGGGCGGCGGGGCTGGGCAGCCCCAGGTGCGCCAAGGAAAAGGCCCTGCAAAGTGCGAATAAATCCTGCCGGTTTACGGCCATTGGCGACGCTGCAGCGGCCCACGCAGCGCAGGCCGCCCTCACAGCCCTCACAGCCCTCACAGCCCCTGGAGCACTTTGGCAAGGCCCGGTGGCCCCAGCAACGGACGTAATACTTTCCACATCACGACGTGACAGGCATCAAGCTGGGACAGGTTTCAGAAGCCACTGAACCCAGTCCTAGCAAAACTCTTTCCAAACGACTTCATGTTTTTTTTTCACGCCGTTGCTTTTGCCAGCCCGCTTGCCGGCTGTCGCTTTCGGCCCTGCAAGCACTCCAGCGGCCCTTCCTCACCCGGAAAAGCGTCACATGACAGCACACACACTTATAACGGAGGCTTGGCGACGCCGCGGCGACACACGCAAACGCCGTCGTCTTGTGTTGCTTGCGCCACACACGCGTGGAGGCGGTCGGCAGGCTGGCAACTTGATAGCGTGTATCTGCGCGGTCCCTTTTAGCGACCTCCAGCGCCCTCCAGCGCCCTCCAGCGCCCTCCAGCGTCTTCCAGTTCTTGCCGGAAGCAGCCAGTGCGCGTTCGAGCTTTCAGCAAGCTCCCTCCAAAAGTACACTTTTGATGGTGAGCCTTCCGAGGTGCACCACCCAGAGGTGCACCTTCGTCAGAGGAGCGCCTTCGGAGGAACGCTTTCAGAAGAACGCTTTGAAAGGTGAGCCTTCAGAGGCAGGCTTGCGGCGCGCCTTTCAGGCCGTTACAGCAACTAGTGCCTCCACCCTTCCCCGTCCGCGGGCCAATTATCCGTCCGCAAAAACACGGGTAAGACAAGCGGCCATTGTGCGCCCAACTTTGGCCGTCATAATGGGGCGCTGTATAATGGCCAAGGTCGAGGAAGAGCAATAAATGAATCTATCCCCGGCTGGGCTTTACGGTCCGGGCTGCGATGCCGCGATCGGAGAAGGGCCGGCGCGCCACTGGGAGGACGGGAGGGACGGCGCTGCTCGGACTGCTGGAGTCACTCCAGTTTCCAGGCAAGCCATAAACATCGCCGGACGCTCCGGGCGTCACTGAGGGCGTGCCGGCCGTGGTCTCAGAGGTGTGCTGGCTGAGCGGAGCGGGAATTCGGGACTTGATTCGGAAAGCACTCTGGGACACCGCCGCGGACGGACACCACGCGTAGCGTCCTTGAAAGGACCCCCTCTGAGGCGCGCGGAGGGCACTTTAGGCACAGGACCGATTACGGGGCACAGCGCGTTTCACGACGCGGAGGCTGTTTTATGAAAATGTATATAACACGCGGGGCGGCGACGTGACGGTCCTATCGCCACATCAAAGTCGCGGAAGGGCCATGTCTGGGACGGGCCATCACGCTACGGGGCGCCACGGGGCCATAGGGGCTGTGTGGCCGCGGGCACGGCGGCTACCAACACCGCCTCTGTGCCGCGGGCCCGTGGGTGTGTCGCAGCGCGACAAGCACCACCGCGCCAGCGCCTTGGGTGCGACACGGTGCGACAACTGGGTAATCAGGGCACCGTAAACCAGGCGGGCCCCGCGTAAAACCCCGGTTGGATAAGGAAGAGAGCCACACCCTGCACTCTCTGTTGCCCCCTGCTCCCCCTGCTTCGCCCTCTGCCTCTCCTTCTCCTTCTTGGGGATTCCCCTCCCGTATCGGAAACGCACGCACCTCGGGGATAGCGTCACAGAGCCCTGCAAAATGGAGCGAAAATCCCTGACAAAGGGGGCGGCTCGTCTCGCCCCGTCCGGGGCCCGTCCGGTGGGGGAGGGGGGCGGGGTATCAGTGTCTATCGCGGGAGGCGTCGGGCCCCACCCTCTCAATGGCACTGGGGCCGGAGCGGCGTGCTCGGGCGTGCTCAGCAGGGCGGAGACGGATTTGGGAGGTGAGTCCAACTTCACGGGGTGGTTGGAGTCTGCTGGGGACCCCCCCTCCATCCATCAGCATTTTCAATGATCTCCCTCCGGGGTGCACCCTTTGCCTTGCTCGTCCATAAAAGCCTTTCAAGAGGCTCGCTCTTTGGTAAACTAAAATCCTGCCCCGACATCCAGCAGCACCCCTCGCAGTCGCGACACCGTGCCCCGCCTGGTGGCCACCCTGACCTAAATTCGCTCCCGACGAACGTTGCGTGTCGAGTGTCGAAGGTCCGAGCGGCATCGGTCGACCTGTTGAGGAGAGCCTCACGCTCAGAGGAGAGCGACAGGCAGAAGGACAGCGTAGCAGCGCGACGCACGCCACCGTCATCGACTAGAGTCTATCGCACACCTGGAGGCAAACGACAACGAAGCAGCCAATCCTAGCATAGCAGTGTCCCCAACGCACCCCGGAACGCATGTGT